CCTTTTGAACTGAGATTTTTAGTCAACTGAGGGCTGAAGCAAATCCTTCGTTAGCTCCATTGAAGCCTTGTTGAATTACATCAGCCAAGGATGTGAGTACACTTAACTAATATTAAGCTACTTCAGTTGCAGTTATGCATGTCTGATCCTTTACCTGGGTAGATATTTTTTCTGGTAGTTTGAGGGCATAACATAAGTCAGGTGAGAGTGTGTTACAAACTTGTATGACAGCCATAAGCAGTAGCTGACACTAGATGCTAAGCAGTATTTAAGCCACTTGGCAAACTTCAGACAGGTCCAGTAATTGTAGGTGGATGAGAGCTTGCAGAGAGTCATTAGGTTCCTGATGGAGGAAATACTGCTGAAAGGCAGAGGAGGAAATGACAGATTTAATGAATAGTGGTCATAAGCTAAACTACAAAGAGCAATTGGTCTGTATGTTTTCCTACAAGAACAATCATGGCAGAACCAAGGCTAGATGGTCCGTGCACAGTACTTGATGGCAAGACCCCTCCAAACCAGAAGGCATGACAAATGACACCAGGGAAAAGTCTCTGACCAGGGAGAAGAGTGGCTGTATTTATGGAGGCAGTGAACTGAACTCTTTGAGCAGGGCTATGTCCTTCTACTTCCACCACAAAAGAGACTGCCAAGTCTTCTGCAGTCAAAACATCAAAGCATTGTCTCTGGAATGGGAGGTCTTGGCATGAAAGGCAGGTTGCCACTGTTGCTAATGGTTCAAAAAGCTGAAAGATAGATAGATCTAGGTGGAGTATCAGACATGCATGAAAAGAAAGAGGTGTTTCATGGTGGTGGACAGGATTTAGTATGCTACTCAAATCTAAGAAAATGAGATTGTACTTGTCATAGTCAAAGAGACATTACAGCATATGCTTGGACACAGCAGGACTGGTAACAGAATCACTACAGTCTGTCTCTGAGCAGTGCTGCACTACGTGTTGATCATGAAGGTTTTATGCTTTTATGAAAACAGCTAATGATGACATGATTCAAGATTCTGTAAAGGGCTCAGAGGGAGGCTCAGTAAAACATCAAATAATGATGTCAAACTTTTCATGCATGACAAGCTAAATGCAAAAGCGTCATTCTCACAGAGACTTAAAAAAAGCAACAGTTGGGATTTGCTTCCAAAATGAAAGAGGAAATTATTCAGGCCAATTTGTTACTTTAGACACGTGAAACACCCATCTGAATGAAGATGGTGGTATGCATCATGAAGTTGGGCACAGGTGCTTATGAACATGGTCATTGATGGATGACATCTCAAAGACTGTAATCAGTGATGCAATGACACAGCAGTGCTGGAGGCAAACTGTCCAGCAGACAAAAGCTTTGTTGACCTGGGGGAAGGTCATCAAATGTGAGCCTTTAACATAATCAAAACTTCTCAAAAGAATACACAGCCTATGTGTGATAGTCACCTCCTACCTTATTGTTTCAGTGCCGCGCTGTGCATGGGTGGACCTGCTGCTGCTGTATCTGCTGTCTTAAACACTGTTCCTGTTCAACAGGAGACTGTCACTATTGAGGAAGACTTCTGCCTTCTCTTGTCTCAGTGCTTCATTGCAGCCTGTTTCTGTCTAGGAAAAAAAAGTGTTTATATGTTGTTGAACTTCCATCACAGCAAGCTAGCTGTAGAAAGGAAGAGGAGAGAGGAGAGAGGAGAGAAGAGAGGAGAGGAGGGGAGAGGAGAGGAGAGGAGGAGGAAGCTTGGCCCACCTCCAGTTGCTCTGTCAAAAAAAATGGCTGTCTTTCTAACAGATTTGTTCTGCATAAGCCATAAAAGGAGAGCTTACTGCAGGGGTGATGAGGTACAATTCTCTGGCTCTGTTATCCAAGGTGGGTACAACAGAGATTTCTGACTGTAACACTCAATTCCAGGAATAAATAAGAGACGATAAATGGCTTTAATGAGTGAAAAAGGACACCCAAAGCAGCAAGGGGAAGAGTACCACTAAATGATTATTGACTTGGGAGTTGAGGTCTGTCCAAGACCTGGTATCCCATGAGGTTGTCTCTGAGAAACAAAGGGATCACATGCCACTGTTCACATTGCAAGAAGCAATTGCTAGATACTGTCTAGCCTGGTACCTAGGTTTCCCCTCGGTCTGGATAGTCAGTCCATGGCTATCCGATTCTTTCATTACAGGTCCCCTGTGGAACTTCATCAAAGTTCACAGACGTCCCCCCGTGTCCCATGAATTACCTAACAACTCTGGGGCTTCAGGAAGGAAGCCGTTTCTTGGAGGATACTTAAAAGAACAAAAATGACAGTGGAAAGCTTGTTCCCCTCCATACTGGCATAGAGACTGCTGGTATTGCCGCACCTGTTGGCAATGCTTCTCTGCTTCCCAAAGGGAGAACGGAAAGCTGGAACACCATCTTGGAGTAAAGAGACAGGTGTCAGTGGAAAAAATACAAAGCTTTTGTTCTCATTGACTGTTCATCTGAATGGAAAATCCAGGCAAGGAGACAGGAGAGCCTGCAGTTCACAATGCCAAGTCTCCTGGTTTCTCATTTTAGAACAAAGTACTCCTGACCACCACTTTTCCTAAACACCCCCACTACATGTATTTTCAGAGGATGATTTCATAAGGTCTCACAAAAGCAGCGACTGAGCAGACGTATGTGCAGAATCTAAGGAGAAATAACTGTATAAGTAAAAAACTATCATCCCTTACTATCAGAGTAGACTACAGAGTGGATGCAATCAGCACTATTTTAGAAAGCACTGCCTTAAGCGTGCAACAAGATTTGTACTCTCCTACAAGAGTGCAAAGGAAATAAAACTGACCTCCAACCACATGACAGAAAGGGTACAGTGTTGGGTGTAAGGAGGTCTGAGTTCTGGGCCTGAGCAAACTGTTCATCCTTTACGTACATCTGTTTTTCCTGCCTGCTCTTGCTGCCTAGATCATCACATTTAACAGCCGTGTCAGTGCAGAGTCTGTCATGGTGCCTTTGCCACTACCGTAACGTTGGACAACTTGCATCCTTTACATCGAAAACTGGCAGAGAGTCACTTGCTCTTAAGCCCACTTTTGTTTCCTCATTGGCATATCACGAGTTTCAAATCTTCTCTCTTCTCTTCATTTATGTTGCAGAGGTTTCTGTTTGGTGGAAACCAGCCTTCCTTGCCAACGGGAAATAAACCCTTTTCAGGCAGTAGGGCATCTCTCTTTTGCATGCCCATTAAATAAGACCTCTTGAAGTTGCAATGCAAGTAGGTGGCTGTCTAGCAGCTATGAGTAAGTTAAAAGAGGATATCAGTATTGCCAGACTTGGCCCAGCTTAATGTCAGCCAAGACATTGGGGGGGAAACCTGACTGCAAGCAAAAGTGAAGCCAACTGCATTGTTTGTCCTTGTCCAAATGAAGGCAAAGGCAAACAGGGAAGATTTATAAACTGGATTTGTAAAATCCCTTTATTTCTAATACGATAAAGAGAGGTGTTGGCTTCTATGGCATATGGATTGTAAGCCGACAACAGTGTTTTCTTTGGGCACGAGCCAAAGTTTTGGCTTTACTTTCCTTTCACCGAACATGAGCCCCCTGGAATGAGTCACTGGTTCTTATAGCGGCCCGCAGTCTGCTGAGCCAGGAAAAGGAGCCCTTGTTGCACAGAAAAGGAATGAGGAGATGATGTGTCCTGTGGGTCACACAGGGAATCGGCATCACTTCCCGCAGCCAGCCAATGCAGATTGCACGCAGAGGACCTGCAGGCCTGGAGGAGATGGAAATAGAGCCAGGACTCCCCAGGACCCACTGCGGTTTGGGTACCACATTTAATCTCTGGTGAGCATCTAGGAGTCCGCGTGGCTCCACCAAAAGCTCCGCTTCAGCAATTCAGGTACTTAAATGAGCTGCAGCAATTTATTTCTGTAAACCTGGATCCTCAATCATCACCAACTCCTTGCTGCAACATGTTAAATCCTTCCCCATCCTCTCCCACCCCAGGAGAACCAGTGGAGTTACACAAGGGGAGCACGTGGCTGGAGACCTCTGAGCCAAGCAGGGGTTTTTTTGCATTTCCTCTGATTATGAGAGCTGTCGAACAAAAAGAAAAGGATCCCGAGGGACAATTCAGTGAGTAAGGGATGTGTGATCACTGGCATCCAACATCGACTTACGGAAACTATAGGATGAGACAAGCCTTTTCACTTCGGCTGCTGCTGTCAGTGCTGGGAGTCAAAGACATCAATTATTGCTAATCTACGGTTTACCTTTTGTTTGTCAGCAGGTGAGGGAGCTATCCACAAAGCTGGTTCACATGCCAGCGGGCAAGGGTGCGGTCATATCGCAGCCTTGGCACTTACAGATACTAATCATTATTAATTGCCAGAGCTGGGCCAGTGGTTTCACCATGGCTGTGCCCCAGCACAACGAACGGGGCCACGCTGCTGTGTGAGGTGGTTGCCAGCTGCTGTTATGTGGAAGATGAAGAGATTACGGAGGTTAAAAAAACCACCACAAATTCAGCAGTAAGCGTGACCGGCCGGGGCAGGGTTCTGGTGAGAGGCTGCCGTCGAAAGGTGCGGGGACGCCAGACCAAGGGAAACGGGCCTCCTGCCCCGCCGCCTCCCTCCGTGCCCACGCAGCCCCGACCGACGCCGCTGAGGGCTCGTCCCGGTCCCGCCGCCACGCCGGGACGCGGGACGGGGCCCGCCCGTCCCACGGCCCAGCAGGGAGACAGCGGGGGCGGCCGCAGGGAGCCGGAGGCGGGACGGCTCCTCCCTGGCGGGGCGGGCTGAGGGGAGAAGCGGGGCGGTGAGGCGGGAACGGTCTGAGGGGAGAAGAGGGGCGGCGAGGCGGGAACGGGCTGAGGGGAGAAGAGGGGCGGCGGGGGGGGGACGGGGCGGGGGGGGAA